TATAAATCTCTAACTGCTCCCAAATAAAAGCTGGCATGCTTTTACAAGGTGGGAAGGATGGAGAGAGGGAGATGAAGGAGAGGATTTGTGAAGATGGAGCTTTTCTTGCCGTTAAATGGATGGGACTATAAAGGCACCATCAAGGAGATAGGATTTCTGCTTTCATGAGGGCAAAATAATACATCTGGTGTATCATTTTGCCTGTTAAGTGAAAGCAGTGAGTTTGCTTTATTCCGTCTAGTTTAAGACAGGATTCTTTCATGTGTGGGGTCTCTTTTGCTTGTAGGTTACTACCTGAATGTACCCAAAGAGATCAGAAATTGCAGCTACAGGTTATTGTACTTAGCCACCTCCTATGCTGGTGCACAAAGTCCATCCGATAGAAGACAATTTAAAAGGCTTCAGCAAAAGGGAACTAAAGATATACTTGACCGAGTGAGCTTCAGGGCTGTCCCTGAGCTAGAGAGAAGGGGTGTTTGTGTAGCCTGTCCCTCCACCCTGCACTCCCAAAACACTGCCTACAGCAGTGTCTGACAACCTTGTGGAACATTGAGTTCAATGAAGTTCCACTGAAGTTCATGGTAATTTTGGGCACAGGAATCCTGTCCTGAAATGCAGATGCTGTTGCACCTACCGGTGATTTTGTTATCATTGCCTCCGTCTCCTTAGTGCAGAAACAAGAAGTAAAATGACAGAAAGCAAAAGAGAAGATTAAAATGACTCATCTAAGCTTCATCAGGAAGTTGCCGAACAGGAGCAGAAGCACCAATGGGAGAAAAGTTGCTGGAAAATGGGAACAGAAAAGGGGATGATGAAATCCAGGGATGCAGGGAGGGAAAAGAGAGAAATGAGAAGAGGAGAAACAGGGAAATGGCAAAAGGAGAAACTGCTGTTTGAAGGAAATGGGAAAGATGACTATCACTGAAACAAAGCAGAAGATGGTAGGAAATGGGATGTTCAAAAGGCGATATTAAGTGGAGAATAAATGGATTTAGGGGAATAGTGGTAGAAGACAGAAGTAAGGAAAGAAAAGTAAGCTGAGGAGAGAAAAGCAAGGAGCGAATGAATTTGTCTTCAGTATTAAAGAATAAAGTAAGTTCAAATAGTGCACCTACCTCCACAAAACATAATACTCATCTGCTTGAGTGGTACAAAGTGTAAGATGGTACCTGGGTTTGCCATACAGCCTCTATGGAAGTCTCTAACTGGTTTTTAACTCCCTTTGGTTTTGGACCTGTTAGCCCTGTAGAGATCCAGACCTTCCCGAATGGATTTGATCTTCACTGCCATGGGGTTGGGGGTTATTCTAGTCACTTGTTGGAGAAACTCTTGGGAGTAGCTCACAGATACCCAAGGGTCCCCAAACAGCAGCTAAAAAGACCTGGCCTGGGTGGGGATGCATGATGCTGCTTCTACTGCAGATAACTCCTGTAGTTCATGTAGCAGCAACCTAAACCTTGGGAAAAAGTCCTAAGTTTCAACTCTGGTGTTAGTCCAGTCAGATAGGGAAATTGGTAAGAAAACTGGCTCAAAAGTAGTGCATATTTAGGGGAACAGGGGATTCTTACCCCACAGATTCAAACCTGAATGTACCATATAGAGAAAACAAAGGGAAAGTTAATTTCCATCACAGAAACAGAGAATACTTTTTTTGCAGGCAACATTAAAACACCCTGATTCTGAGCTCATTTTCCCACATGACAACTTTGAGTTCTGGAAACCTGTTTCTCATCATATATGTGCCATACAAGGAAAACTTGGACCTGTCAGGATTGGAGTAATTTTAAAGCTCAATACAATTAAAATTGCAAAGCACAGAGAGAGACAGGTTTTACTCAAGATACCACTGCCCATTTTATTTCTTTAAATCTCATTATATTTTCACCAGACCAATAGGCTTATTGGAACTGCATGACCGTAAAGCAACAGAGGATCTGGATGGGACACAGGGATTTTAGTTGTGGTACTCTAACTGTAATCCTACAGTGGCATAGATGTTAAGATGGGAGACAGCAGAAAGCTTTTGCTGTAAGGATGGGAGTGAGTTCCTCCATATAATGATGTCTATAGCTCTGTTTAGCAAAGAGACACCCTTACTTTAGTTCTAATCAAATTCCCACAGTGTGTGTAGTAGTGGCAAGGGATGTGGAAAAAGGATTTGGTCAGGAAAAGGCAAAGGAAAAAATTGTTTCCTCTGCATTTGAGACTCCTGGAGGGCTGGAAGGACCACACTGTGGGGTGTTAGACGCAGCCTAATGCCTCTGCAGAGGGAGAAGGATCCGATACGTGTTGGTCTTCTAGTGATGAGCTGCTGTACCTGCCTTAAGGGAAAGAAGGAAAAACAAGCACGAATATCACCTTTGGGAAGTGAGTGCTGTTGTGCACTGAAGTTTGAATGATAGAAAGAAATGAAATGGAAAAGGACCGGTAAATGTTCAGAGGAAAGTAAAAAAGTTGTTTTATGAGCTGGAAAAAGAAATGGGCAAAGAACATCAGAGCAGCTGGTGGCTGTACTGGGTTTAACTTCCTGATAGTCTTCATTATTAATGCTTGTTTGTTTTGTTTTAAACTGGAGCGTGTTCCTGTGCTTTTTCCTGCAATCAGGTTAGCTTCTGCTTGCAACGGGAGCAGGATAAAACCTCCGTGACACAGTGGAACCGGGCTTATTTTTCACTGTGGTTTCATTTTCCTTTTTTCACTGAAGAATTTCAAGCCAGGACATGTTTCAGTGGCCTAATCTTAACTGCACACGGGAGCCGTCTCTGTTTGCTCTGCAGGGAGGAGCTGGCTCACTTCAGGAGTCGTTCAAGAACGAACACAACTGGTTTGCTGTCAGTTCTTAGTACCGGCTGTAGCTCACGGGCAATAATGGAACCAGCAGTGGGGAAGCAGCGTTGTATAACAAGTAAATGTCTTGGCTTTGGTTTAGTACAATATAGCATGATTTCAAACCAAAACCATCATCTGCCTGCTTGGTGAAGTGTTGTGATTGTTGAGCAGATGTCAGTGACTTAACAACAGGATAACAGCACTTGCATTTCCCACTTTGGAGGGAGCTGCTTTTCCCCCTCCTTCATTATCCTGCAACACTGCTCTCTGCTTCGCTGAAAAACACCCCAAATAAAACCCCACTTTTGGTCCAGCTCGCTAAAGGAGGACCGACAGTTGCTGAATCCCTGTCAGAATTACAGCAGGCACCTGTTCATGGCCACTGAGCCCGATGTTGCTAACACGTTTCCACAATAACTTCATGCTCAGAACTTTCCAACCAATTATTTTCTGGGAAGAAATTTTCCACATTTGGCCTTTGCTTGAGAGGGATTTTTGTGGGTTTTTTTCCTTCTAGGCTTGAGAAAATCGATGCCAGCTGTTCCTGAACACAGCCCCGGTTATACAACCATGCCTCTGAAGTAAAGAGAACTTCACAGGCTGCACCGAGCTGAAGCATAAAGCTCGCTCCAGACCCTTCTGGGGAGTGACTTTTTTTTGCCTGGAATTATACGTGACACTGATTTACTCAGATTAATAAGGATAAGGCATTAAATGTGTTTTGAAGGAGCTGTAGATAGTGAGAAAGAAACGCTTGCAGCGGAGAGCTGTCAGGTAGGTCAGAGGAGCTCCCTCCTGCCCTCCACAAAGAGCACCTCATTGTGGAGAACAGGGATTGACTGCACCTTCCAGAGCCCACATCACTGCTCCAGGCTACGTCCCTTTCCCACCAGAAGATGAGTCTTCTTCCCAGAGCAGGCAACTGAATGTAAAACAGGAGGGTTAAAAGTGCACATACAGCACATGGAGTGGAGATGCAGAGGAACTTTCAAACTAGTATTAGAAATCAATACCCTTGCTAAAATGCTCCAAGCAATGAATATATGCCAGAAGACACCACTTGCGCTATATTACCTATTGTCAAAATACAGCCGTGTTGAATGTTATGCAATTAGTTAACTGGTTGGAACACTTGAGCAGGGTATATATTTTATGGGTGAAGGTATATATACATTATATTGGTTTAGTTAGAATAGCATCAAGCATTAAATATTCTCATCTTCCCATGCCTTGTGCAGAGACTTGAGGACTGTCTCAATGACAAGTTTGTATGTATCGTATATAGAATATTATCATCCTAGATAACAGCATGCGTCCCTCTTTGTAAGCCTTCTGCATCTCTTCTGTATCTTATTTCCTAGCATTCTGGGGGCTTTTAGGAGGCAATTTCTGTGGCTTAACAAATCAGGAAGCTATGGAAACAAAAATAAAAGAGAGAACTAAACAAAATCCCTTCTCTACAGCCACCACCGTATCCCCCTCTTGCCTATACGGACTCTGGTTTTCCCTGAAATCATAAGGAGGTCGACAAAACCCACAATCAAACAACAAAAATCCCACCCCGAACCGCATTATTTTTAGCTTTCTACCGTTTCGTGCAAGGGGTCTTTTCCCCTCAGAGTAAAAACTGAAGCCTTCCACTGCATGTAAAATGAACTTTGAGGTGTCACTTAAAGCAGCTCTGGGCATGGGGGGGAAGGAAAGGGGAGCCGTTAAACAATTTGTTCCTGTAGAACAAGATCGTGTATTCAGTCCTTTCGAAAGGGGGTTTGGGTTTTTTTCTCTCTCTTCTCCCCCTTTGTTTTCCTTTTTGGCCGTGAGACGGACTTTGATTTATTTGCAGCAGCAAAACGGCCCGCAGAAAGAAGCTCTCGGAGCCTTCATCTGTTTAAAAGGAGAGCAAAAAAAAAGGGGGAGAGGAGAGAAGGGAAAAGAAAGAAAAAGAAGCAGAGAGAGAAAACGGGTGCCGGTGGATGCTGCCCGGCTCGGTTCGGCTCGGCTCAGCGCGGACCGAGCCGAGCCTTGCCGGCGGGGAAGCCTTGCATCACCGCCCCGGGCTCGGCTTCTCCCCGCCCTCTCTTTCGGGGAGGCTATTAATAGCATGACATCAGCCCGGGACTCGCCGCCAGAGTAAATACCAGCGCTGGCCGCTCGGCTATATAAGGGGGGTGATGCAACCGAGGCAAGAGGCAGAGGAGCGGCGAGCGGCGGGAGCTGCTCTCCCGGAGGAGGCAGCAGCGGGGAGCGGACGGCAGCCGGGACGGCAGCGCTGCCGGGCGGGTGCGGAGCCCCTTCTCTCCGGCCGGGAACGCCGTGGCACCGGGAGGGAGGTAGGTGGGGAGCGGGAGCGGAGCCGCCGAGCCCCGCGGGCGCCTGTCCCGCTGCACGGAGGAAAAGTTTCGCCGCCGCAAAGCCCAGTTCGAGCCCCCCCCGGCCCCGTCCCGGCGCTCATCCCCTTCCCTGCCCGGGCTGCCGCCAGATGTGGGAGCCCGCCGAGCCCCGGCTCTCCCGGGCGGGCAGCGCAGCTCGGCACCGCGCGGTGGCGGCCTCGGCGGAGGAACGGGACCGGGAACGGGATCGGGACCGGCGCCGGGAGCCGCGGGGATGCCGGAGCGCGGCGCTGCCCCACGGGCGGAGGAGGCACCGCCACCCGCAGGGTCCGGGGCTGGCTGAGCGATGGGAAGCCCAGCACCGCCGCGGGTACCGCGATCTGTCACAGCCTGAACCCGAGCGAGAGCTCCCGCTGTGAGCCAGAAACAGGCACTTTCTGTCCCCGCGCCTTGACATGTAGAAGATCAGTTGCTAAACTGTTGCCTAATCAAGGCAGCCGTGACACAACAGCAAACTTGTTTCAGAGAACGAGTTTCCTGTTGGAAATCGATTTTCCCCCTCGTAACAGCATTTGAGAAGCTGTCACGAAGCTCGGGAACGATGTGGGATGTCAGAAAGCTTAAGGTCAACCAGCGTGCACAGAGGTTGTGAACTATAACTGCTCTTAATGCTGGTTAAGATTAACCTCAATGGTTATCGGGGTTTATTGCATCAGCACCAGAGGAGAAGGAATTCATATGAAGAAATAAAACCAAGAGACAGAGCCAGGCTATGCACTTAATGCATAGTCTTCACTGCAAAGTCGGGCTTTGCAGTTAAGCAAACAGAAAAGAGTGAACATAAATATGAAACAAGAATATCCCTAAATAATAGAAACTCAGAGCTAGGAAGAAAATCCTGACATTAACATACGGGCAGATGAGAGCTGAGAATTCACTGCAGATGGAAAGAATCAGCAAAAGAACAACCAACAAGTAGGGGGAGAGCAAATGAATCAAGTTGTTTGAATCTACCTGAATTGGGAAGGCACCATTAATAACAAAGCTGTTAGTTTTGGAGAATTCCCAAACTGAGGCTAAAGTAAGGAAGCATTAAGTCGCCCTGGGGACAAGCTGTGCTTTTATGGCGCAGCACTGTGAAGTGTTCAGCACCTCCAGTGGCAGTAACTTCAGAAGTGCCTGAAACAGACTTGAGCCCAGGTCCATGTGCATGGTCTGACCAAATAAACAGAGGTCATACCAGGCAGGCCCAGATGCAATTGCACTTTAAGGCTTGCTATTCTTATTCCTGCTGTTTCCCCAGCCTTTACAAACACAGGGAAGATGAGACAGTGCCCTTGATGGCCTATAGGCAGAGCTACCATTTGTACAAAAATTGGGAAAAAGGAAGGGCAACTTGTTGCAGTTCTTAAAATGGCAAAATCTAATTTTCCTTCTTGTAAAACACTTTTAAAAGCAGATTTGTTCCTCAAAAATTTGGCAAACATTTACTTTATTGTTATGAACAGGGAATCTATTTAGCTTACTGAGTAGCTTTGACACAGGGCTCATTATTTGTGTCACACTGACTCCTAATGATCCCAGTGGTAGATTGGAAGCTGACCCTATGAGGGGCTCTTCAGAAGCCCTGGCCCGAGGAAGAGCCTCAGGAACACAAACCAGTGGCAAAGAGCCCTGCTAAATGGTCCTCTGCTCACAGCAGGAACCCTTGCACAAACCTCAGCCCCCTTATAGGCCTTCCCTAAAGTCCAAGTAAATAGGAGATGCCTTTCAGGGTGTCTGGAAGGTCAGTGAGCTGTCCAGGCAGGATAGTAGCACGTTTCTATGGTCAAGGACACCTTCCTCTCACCATGGGTACATACTATTCCTTTTTCATTCCTATACTAGTGAAAGGCAGATGGGAAGACATTAGAGCAGGGTTTGGTGCTGCTTGTGGTGCGCCAGTACTAACTAGTAGAAATCCACAGTGAACAAACATTCAGGCACAAACAGTCCTGGTTTCCTCTGATGCTATGGGCTGACCTTAACTAAAAGTTCACCTAAACAGAAAGGTAATTGAATAAACCACCAGAGCTTGAAAATTATTAGCCCAATGAATTCTTTTGTAGGCTGGACAAAGAGTTTAACCATTAAAGACTCCTGGGTTGATTGAGTTATACACAATTGGATGAAGCCATCACTGGCAGCCAGAGACCGGTTTAGTGAATGTAGCTGAAGTTTCTGCTAGCAATGAGGGGTTTGGTGTCATCTGGAATTACCCTTTTTAAATGAGCTGAACAGTTGAATACTGCTAAATGGTAGATAATGCTGGGAGGACTTCAGCTGGAGATTATAGGGCCATTTCTGACTTGTTGGAAAAGAGTAACTGTTAGCTTTCTGAGATTATAGGATTAAACCATATCAGTATTTTAAATGTGACTCATGAGCAGGGGTTTTCTTAAGAGAATGACATAAATTTCCCAAGGCCTTTCTGAATAACAAATTCTTCCAAATAATTTCCTCATCTTTAATAACCACTGGTGAAACCCCGGCCCCATTGAGGTCAACAGAAAAAGCCCTCTTGATTTCAGTGAGCTCAGGATTTTACCCCCAGACTCTGGGAAAGGCTCAGTTTATGGTGACCGGGTGAGGAAGACCCAGTGGCTACCAACTGGCAATTCCAACTGTCCTCAGATTTTCACATTTACCCCCCTTAGCGATGAACCAGATTCTATTCTCAATTGCACCAGTGTGGATTTACAGTGTATTTTTAGATATCTCTGAGCAAAATCTATCTTCTTGTCAAGGCACGTGACCCCAAACATCCCTTGCTGCGTTACAGAAGTAGCGTACAGGGAACTGTGCAAATCAGGGTGGACCACGTGGAAGTTTAACTTACCCACGCTGCTACCCCGAGGCAACTCTTTGCTTACCTGTACTAAGTTAATTACAATTGACTTAGCTATAATTATTGGAGTTCTAATCAAGAGTAGGTAACATACACTGTAATTACCCATACAGCTATTAAAAAAAACCAACAACCTACACCTAAACACTGAAGAAAGCTGGAAAACTGATACCAAATCCAATCTAACACAAGGCACTTCATAAATAAGGGAAGTAACACAATCTTTTTCTATATGGATTTGCACCTTGGGCCAGTAACAAAAAGTGCTCAGCTTTCTTCCAGGCCTCAGAGCTCTCCTTTTTCTGGGTGAGAGATGGTCTGTGCCATGCAGAGCTGCCTTGCTAGTTGCCCATGGCGTTTGGATGGCTGACTACTGAGTTTTGCCTCTCTCTCAGTGGGGCCAGCTCTTTTCACCAAGCACACAGGGGCCTCTCTCCCTCCAAAACTGGCTAAGAACTTCATAAGAATGGCTAAAAAGAGGGAAGTAGAGAGCAACTGTTGAGAAGGTTCACTTTCTTAGGAAAAACACTAGAAATTGAGTTCCTCTGCAGGTGTCCATTTGCATAATTTCCCTGAAGCCTCTCCAGTCACGCTCGTTCATAGGAGTGGAAGATCTGACCATACGTATTTAAGCATCTCAGACCTCTTGCTGAGGGTACATGATGGTGGTTTCAGGTTTGACAAGAGCAAAGGAATGAAAGAAACGGCTTCACGTTCTTCATGACTCAACCCCTCCAGCTCAGCCTTTGAAGCCCCTGAGCATGTACAGACTTTACCTTTGTGCCAGCTCTTATTAGTAACCATTTTTCAGGAGTTTATACCAGGTCTACAGCTCTGGGTAAAACTAAGCACAATGATTTTGTGATAGATCCTGTCTTGGTTAGTAGACTTCAGCTTCCAGTAGAACTTCTTGATCTTTGCCCAAATGTGATTGAGATCAAGGCATGCTCTATTCATTTGAAGCCGGAACCTGTGATGGTATAGTTCTGAGGATGGGGATACTTTCAAGCTCTTTCTGTGCTAATAATAATTGTAATTATAATATTACAAGTGTTTCCTTGCTTTCTGGTTATTTTCCTTATTCTCTTCCTATTCACTTGATTCTCATTTGCCATAAAACCTCACAGAATATATACACACGTACTACTTATATATATATATATATATACATGCTATCTTTTTCAGTATTAAGTTTCAGAAAGACCTAAAAATTATGTGATGTGCTAATGCTATTATGATTTTCAAACACTAAGTTAACACAAAATAGTTTTTACTAGTGACCAAATTCTTAACTGCTTATCTCTAGTGAGAGATCAGGGTAGACGGGGGATCAAGCAATGGGTTATGATTCATGGTATGAATTATTTTTGCCTTCCTAAAGTGGTTGAAAGATTATTATCTCTCTTTTTCCCTTTCAGCAAAATGATGGTCCAACACTCAGGCCAGGTGTCTGCATTAGAAGTCAGCGCCTCCGCAATTGTTCCCACTTTGTCCCCTGCAGGGTCACTGGGGTTTGATGATTTCACAAATCTAACCCCACTGGTGAAAGAGGAACTGAGGTTCACCATTCAGAACAAGCGTCAGTCGCACAGGATGTCTTCTACATTGGACACAGTGACAGTTTCTGAAAGGCCCGTTGAAACATCAATCATGAAAACAGAGGTATGGCTCTTTAAATAGCATTTCAGTGGGAATGATTAACTCTCTAATAATGTTTCACTACAAGACCAGTAACTCTTAACTACAGACAACCCTCTCCACCGTACTTCATTCTTTTAAGCTGGCCACTTGGCTTTCTGTCATGTGGTTCTGGGAAGCCCTCTGGTAGTTCTCATTTCCACTGAGGCCTATAGTTGGGTATTTTATTTCTGATTATGGACTAAGGGCAATGTTTTACAGTGATATGAGCAAGTACTAACCCGGTTTCCCTAATTACTTGTGGCTGAACTTGGAATAAATCACTGCTGAAGTTTCGGTTCACTGAGGACAGTCCAGTAGGACCCTTGTGGGCTAGACTAAAATAGGCACAGCCATGCTGTGTCCATGAGAAGTTTTTACTCTAAGATGATAGTCTCTGTGGAAAACACTTGTAACATGGAGAAAGAGGTTGAGTTAGGAAAATACCTACACCTTTGTCTCAGCCTCCATAGGAAACAAACTGAAGCTTGAAGGCATGTAATACCCCTTTTTACTGCTGCCCTTAGTTTGTTGCCTTCTTGCTGCCTCATTCATGACACATGCTCCACTCTGCTCCCCAAGCCCCTCACTCCTTTTGCACCTCAGGGCATGGAGGAGAGGTGGAGGCGTGGGAGTCAGCCTGGGGAGATGCTCAGCAAGGTTTCTGAGCCCCATTGAGTTAAAAGGAGCCATCACATGGACCACATCCATCCAGACTCCACTCAGGTTTTTGTTGACAATTCTAAGAGTCACTGCAGTTTTACTGTACCACAAACGAGGTCAGAAGCACATTCTTGTATAACTCACAATGTGAGCACTAACACTATCCACGTTGCTTTTAAAAGCGTGGAAGTTATCAAAACACAAGTCATGTACTTATGACCCTTTATGGACTGTGTGTATCTGTTTTTATGGGACAGTTTTCTCCTGAAGAGGATGAAAGAAAAAAGAGAAGAAGGGAAAGGAACAAAATTGCTGCTGCAAAGTGCCGAAACAAAAAGAAGGAGAAAACAGAATGTTTGCAGAAAGTAAGTGACTGGCTTGAGTTGTTCTTAGTCTGCAGTGCTGCCAGGATCCAAACAGAGAGCATGGGGTACTGTCATAGTAGGAAATAAGAGAAGGATGTCACCCAAAACTCTGTAAACCCTTCAAGGTATTCCTTAAGAAAAATGAACATGCTATATATTATAACCAAACCTGGCTAAAACTGGGATAAAGTGAAGGCATGGTAGGAGTGAAGAGATTGTTGTTTTAGAGACCAGCCTTGTCTATGGAGATAATATTAGCTTGAAAGTGTACACTGACCACAGGAAGTAGTAAAATATCATTTCATAGAAGATTCTTTGTGGAGACCCAGAGCATACAAATACCAACAAGTAATTTCTAACCTCTTTATGAAATGAGTGGCATAATAGCTTACCCCTTAATTCTCCATCCTAAGACCTCAGCTGTGTCTTGACCTGCTCTGCCATGATATGCAACTCTATTACAGCAGCAGCAGCAGGCCTGTCCTTATTCCTGCATCTAGGGATAAGGGAAAAAAGGTTGCTCCCTTAACTTTGTTAGCTTAACATGATTTTACAGATAAGTGACATGATGTTCTAGAGAATTAATAAGTGTAGATAACTTGGGGACACTTTTTGACCCCCAAAGTCAGAGAACAACATGGCAGAATAATAACGCTCTGGATATCTGCCATTGTGACTGAATACAGATCTGAATTTAGCTTTTCAACTTCTCTAAAGGCCAAAAGAGGTAGCTGTCAATCTGTTTCTTAGACTGCTATTGACTAGGGAACGTATAATAATTGTAGGATGCTAAGAACGTGCAGTTTCTTTCTCTGTTAGCCATATACTTTCCCACCAATAAAAGACCACAACTATGAGATCAGCTACGAGATAAACATTGCAATTACCTGTTTGAGCTACTTAGTCTAATAGTTGTGTCTGTCCTTTGTGACTAGGAATCAGAAAAGCTGGAAACTATCAATGCAGAATTAAAAGCCCAGATTGAAGAGCTAAAGAACGAGAAGCAGCATTTGATATACATGTTAAATCTTCACAGGCCCACTTGTATAGTTCGGGCACAAAATGGAAGGACACCTGAAGATGAAAGGAATCTTTTTATTCAACAGATCAAAGAAGGCACATTACAAGGTTAAATGATACGGCAAATATGGAAGTATTTGTAGTGGTTTTTAACAGCTACCAGAATCCATGGAGGATCTGACATAACGTGTAGGATTCTATTAGTCAAGAGCCTTTAGGAAAGGCAGATTGCTTAAAGCGGAAAGAATCATTTTGGCTTGACAGCGATTCTTCCCCTTGGAAGATCTGGTCTCAATCAAATTGAAGAGCCTTCTGCCTCAAATATAGGTTTTGCACCTGACATACTCGCTGTTCCTAGGAGCTACAGACAACAGCTTCAGAAGTTTTAGCTCTCTGCTAGTATACAGTATCCGCACTCACGTTTGTGCTAGAACACTATGACTTCCGAAGATGCACATGGTACAGACAGCTGTGCTGGATGGACACTCTTCCTCCTTGTCGCTAGTAAGGAAGGCGGACTGACAGTACTTTCAGTTTCCAAGTTTCCAGGAGGATGGTTTCATGTACCGATGCATAACGTTGCATTCTAACCTCACACACACACACACAGACACACAGAGACACACAAAAAGCTTTTAGTTCCAACTAAGCTTTGTAATTTCTTCTTCACAACACTTGTGTGGGTTTTCTTCTGTGACTCATCTCAAAGACCGAATCTGAAGAGCCTCGTGGGTGTGACAAAGATGCTCCTTGCAGAATGTCCATACCTTGTGTTTTAGGAGCTGGAACCCCACCTGCTATCCTTTGGGGGCTACAGTTTTAACTTGCATTGCTGAAGAGCAGCTTGTACCACCACTTGGTGAATTGGACCCACTGGAAAGAAGAAACTAACTATGGAGGGATATTGCCACAGGTTTTGCCTGAATAAAGAACTGCAGGACTGAATCTCAGGCTCATGAATAATGAAGAGTTGAAAAAGTAAGATAATCTAGGATCAAATCCTGCAAGCCTTAATTCACACTATTAACCCTCACTCACAGAAGAGGTTCCATGGACTTCAGTGGGTCTGTTTACGAGATAGTTCTTATAAGCATGAGCTTGAGAAAGCTTTTTCCACCCTGGTCAGGATTACTTCCTTCTGCCAGGTGATTCAGAGGGAAAAATTGATTGTAGCTACTTTCATTTTGTATTTGAGTGGCAACTACAGCCAATCAAAAGTGTTACTTAAAACCTAAAGGAGGAAAGAGTTTTGATGTAGTGAATAACTGGTTTTGGTTTTTTTTTAATCAAATACTAACCTTGGATGTTTCTGAACTGGTAGAAGAGCTGCTGGATGAAACAGTTGGAGCTACGAGTGTTTGAATTCTGATGTTTCTGTGAAATTCTGAGATTGTTTAATCCTATGAAATATATCCTTACAATTTTTTGTAAAAGAAAATATTATCCTTATTTATCACTATCATAATGGATAGAGTTAATAAATACTGCGAGCAAGAGAAAACTGAAACCACAAGTGTTGTGCTGTCTTTTTACTTTTACCTCTTGGTGTTTAATATTATATATTCCTAAACTTCACCAGTTGTAGTTGAGACACAGCTACTGAAAACACGTATCCTTCATCTTTTCCACAGATGAGGCACTAAGTATCTTGAACCACTGGGTGCAGGCATTATGTTTTCCTAAGTTCTGTACCTCCATCAGTGGTGTCTGGCTGTACAATGGCACCATTTAAGCAAAGCAGACGATAAGAATGGAGCTTACAGTACATAATATTTTACACCAGTTATGCAGTGTCAAAACTGTGGTTTTGTTCTAAAGGCTAAGCTTAAAGATACCTCGGCCATAAGCTTTTTACCCTGCAAGTCCTGGATGAGTCTATTGGATATCATACCTGATCCTTATATGATCGTTATATTCTGCAACAGAACTTCTTAGTACATTTTCCTAAGATCTGGATATATTGTAATGTCCTATATTGCATTTTAAACATATGTACTTCATGTATCTGAAAAGTTAATGTGTTAAAGATGACATGCTAGGTCTGATTCTGTCCTGAAAATCCATTATCTTTCTGTATGTTGGAAGGAGCTTCCATTGACTTCAATGAGAGTTTTATTCACATCCTGTAAGCAGAGGTTGGAGCCTCTGCTGCAACTTCTCCAGCTTAGAGGGCAAGTTGCACAGGGAGTTGGGCCAGCTATTTATCAGACAACAGATACACATGAAGCTTGTTACAATAAACTTGTCAATGTTCATTGGTATTTGACTTCTGTAATGGGGAAATACAAAACCAAGGCACCATCCCAGTATTGTATGCCTTGGCTTTGCCTTTCGGGCAAATACCAGCAGACAAAACTCTTTGCCTCCTATACTGTTATAAAGTGTTACCACAGAGACTAGAATATAATGACAGAATTCATGTGTCTCCCTTAGGGAATTTGTATGGTTGCTTTTAACCATATCACTAGTGACGCAGGCGTCATGCTTTTGTTGCTTGATGTTATTTACTTAGCATCCCAAATGTTAATATGGTACCACTGCAATTGTCAGAAGATAATCTATTTTTTGTTTCTTTGTATGTGCAGTCAGAGCTGCTTTCTAATGCTTTTGTATGTGTGTGTGTGTGTGTGTGTGTGTGTGTGCATGTGTGCTCCTGCACGCTGCTCTAGAAGTGATGGTACTCAAGTTCCTTTAACTGTGCCCTGGAAAAGCGTGTTTAAACACTAGACAGGAACAGTATGTTGCATGAGATTTTAAGGGTATACTTTATGCAGGACAAACCTTAAAATGCATTAAAAGCAGTTTGTTTTCTATTCTCGAGTTTGTTTTGATACTTTAATAAAAAAGAATTAATATACATTTATTCATGTGTCATTTAATTCATTCTAAGTTTTAAGGTCCATGAGCACCAAGATATTAAAAAGCGAACACATTTTATAGGTTTAAAGGAAGGTATAAACCAAGTTTTGTTGTTATAAAGGCTGATCATGAATTCCTGGCTAATTCCTTGTTTGTGGCTTAGGGCTTAAAGGACTGGAACTCGGATCTCCTGAGCCTTACCTAAACTTACAGCCAGCCAGCTGATACTTATTCCACTCTTCTGATTACCCACTAGGTTTAATGGCTTTGCTGCTGTGAAGCTTCAATATTTATAGACTGCTTTCTATGGTTACATGGAAGACACTAGAGAAGTATAGCATGATTAGGGCTTTATTTTTTTCCCCTGTTTGTATGTGTGGAGAAACATGAAGAAAGATGAACAAAATGTTCTATCGTGCCTTTCCAAACCTAAGTATTTACACCCAGACACAAGTCCCTGTGTTTTCACAGCCACTGATGTGGACAAAAAAATTTTGGCTTCCATCCTTTGCAAGCAGTCCTAACCTGTAATACAGAGGTCAGACAGAAGGCCAGGAAATCCATTGCACTATTGCAAAATCCAGTTAAAAATATCAGCTGGAAGGAAGATCTAGGCTACTATGAGCTTGGCAATGTTAAATGCTTATTTTTGTTCTTGGTACACCCAATTACAGATGTCTAGTCCCCATACATGTATTCACCCTTTCATGCATTCTCCTTTAGCTGCTGTCAAACTTTACTTTTGAATACCTGACTCGCTTCTAAACTGGTAAATGTACGAATCATCTGCCTGGCCTCTTTTAGAACACCTTAGCAACAAAGTCAGGGCTTTTGATTTTATGAGCTGATCTCTTATAATACTGTCCCTAAATCGCATGAATTGAAACCACGAAACCACTGTTGGTCTCTTATGGCCTATTCCTAACAGCATAATTGATATTCCTTGGAAAAAATAGTATGCCGTATCTCCTCCTTAGGTCATTTCAGATGCTAGATCTGTATGTACTTTGAAGCTTACTGGGCTTTACGCTGTACATTGATAAGGAGCATCATCTACTTCTTTATAGCTCTTTCCTTGATGTAAATGAATAAATAGCACTTACTGAAGGTAGATAGAGCCAATTACTTGTGCTAGGCTGGAACCATTTAATGAAAATAACGGTAGCAAATTTCAACTACAACAGCTTTTCTACCCAGGCCCATGAGAATTTGAAGGTATTGATTAAGGATGGTTTTAAAAGCACCGATTCTTAGTTTTGCAAAGAAACTGGATGAGTTACGGGTAATGAAAGTAAAACTGTACAGTTTTTCTGGTTAACAGCAAAAGGGCTTTGAAAACTACATCTACTTCACCTTAAAAACATTCCTAAATCCAGAATGACAATTGTATCTCACATCCACTCTTCTGGTGTGATCCCCCTCACCACTTTCAGCAGAACGTTAAGCTAGGTACCACTCACTCACACTGGCATTGCCATGTTTGCCCAGTGCCCCCAACTGGAAACGCCGAGAATCACATGATTAAAGAGCGCAATCAAGTACTCGTTTGCTTTAGTACTTAGTAACGTTCTTCATTGCTTTGAAATGACACCAATATTTTCATTTCTATAACACACAATTACTTTTTAATGTGTAGTTAAAAGAATACCGTCACTATCTCGAATCCTGTTATTTAAAGGCCATTTTGTTGTTGGACAATCTGAGTCAGAACTGCTGACTTCAGTGATAAAAATAGCAATTCACTAATTTTGAATGCTATTAGATCTTCAAAGCCACCACAGTTAAAAGAGAATACACTGGAGTCTATTCTTGATACAGCATCAGGTCTGGTGGCGTATCTTTACTACTGCTGACAACGACGCACAAACCAGGAAAGCCCCAAATAAAACCCCATAAAACAAACCACCCGAATGATTTTAGACCCCAAGTGTAGTAGAGCTGACACTTGGAGAAATTGTTAGACCTCGGAAATAAATGAATAGAAAATGGTAACAAGAAGGTGGAATGCTTTATTTCTTCTTATGTGTATTTAGCAACTTCCTATTTGTAGACTCCCCCTGAAGTTATGAGTGCACCCATCATGCCCACTTAGGCAGTGATTATGCCCACACAGCAAATAGTGTAGCATAGCAATACTTACATATAAGCTAACTTAGCACTAGTACACCCCAGTGATGACAGCAAGAAACTCAGCACAGGCTAATTGATGTCACTGAGAGGATGAGCTCTCCGTGCAGGCAGAGGACAGGCTGCTACTGGCATCTGAGGTAGCTCATTTAAAGCCAGCTTGGGTATCATTGAGTTCCTCAGGTTAGCATATGTCACGTAGCTGCCTGCATTCTCAACTAAATGGGTCCACCATGCAGACCAAAGGTCCACCCAGCCCAGTTCTCTTCCTACAGCACTGGTCAAAAGCAGCTGTCCAAGGAAGAACAAGAACAGGGTAAGTATGCTTCCTCTGGGGGCTTTTGCACACCCTATTTTCAGCTTGTGAGTCACAAGCTTGACATGATTCCTTTAGGTAGTAGCTTTCTATAGAGCTTTCTCTGAAGTATTTGACCAGCATCTGCAGAAACTTTTGGTGGCAAGCTCCAAAGGGCTATCACCATTTAAAAGAAGAACACAGTTTGCTATTGATCCTGTTCCCCATAACTCTACTTGACAGCCCTCCATTCTTGAGTTGTGTGAACACCTATCCGTCCTCTCTATGACACATGACTTTATACTTTGCTGTGCTGTTTCTTTTTCAGGATAAAGAGTCACAGCCTATCCAGTCACTGTTTCTTTTTCCCATAGCCATTTTACACCCTTGATCACTCCAATTACCTTTTTTCTGGGAAAAATTTGGCTATTCCAGAAGTTTAAGATTAAGGGACCATAGTTTTATATACAGTATTCAAGGTGTTGTAGAACCACAGAATAGTTTGGGTTGGAAGGGACCTTTAAAGCTCATCTAGTCCAACCCCTTTGCAATAAGCAGGGACATCTTCAACTAGATCAGGTTGCCAAGCCATGTTGTCAAGCCACGGGTTAATACAGTGAGATCCTGATGCTCACTGTCCCTTTCCTACTAACTCCAGAAATTAGGTTTGCATTTTTGATGACTGCCAAGCATTAAGCTTAACACAACACAACCCCCCAAATCTCCCTCCTAAGCGGTAATGATAAACTCAAGCCCAGCATTTCATGTATAGCACCAGGATTGAGATGCATTTCCTTGTGTTTACTTGCATCAAATTTTTCTGCCATTTTCATTTCCAAACTGTACATAGAGAATCCTAATGCAAATCTTCTGAAATTGCCCTTCTCCTTCCTATCTGGAATAATTTTGTACCATCACAACTTTCTGACTACACTCTTCACCCTCTTACCAGATCACTTGCAAAGATGCTGATCTGTGCAGGTCCCAGTATAGGTTCCTGTCTAACTCCACTGGATGACCTGCCACCACTAAGACTGTTCATTTACTCCTCCTTCTTTTCTACTTTTTAATCAAGTTTTTATGCATGCTTATGCGTTTTCTCTATTCACAGCTATCTGGTTTCTTCAAACATAATCTTTGGTGAGGGAATGTACTGAAATGGCTTTAGAAGTGAATCTCCCTGAACCATACATCTCAACTCTCTAAGAGAGCCCCAGATGTGGAATGAAATTCAGGCTTACAGACACAAAAGCCATGCTGGCTCTTCAAAGAGGTTGCATTTATCTAGATACCTACTTTATCTTTGTTCCCATTAACTTTCCTGCCAGATTACAAGCCTATAGTTCCTTGGATGCTTCTGGAACATTTTATAAAGGTTGGTGACATGTTTGCCACACTCCAGTCCTCAGATACCAAAGAAGATGAAGTCAAAGTGACAGTGAAATGTTACATGTTATTTTTAGTATTTCAACAATTTTCTCTTCAGATTTGTTTGATCCTTCTGGTAAAAACTCCATTGGGCAGTGAACAAGGCCAGGTTGGACAAAGCCTTGGGTGACATGGTCTAGTGTGAGGTGTCCCTGCCCGTGGCAGGGTGTTAGAACTGGATGATCTTAGGGTTCTTTCCAACCCAAACCATTCTGTGATTCTCTGCTGGTTTACTTGCCCTTGCCCCATCCTAAAGAGGCTTCTGGCTGAGGAATGACCTCTTCCTTCAGCTTCTCAGCTCTACAAGTGTTCCCTTTGTACCCTGAACACCAGCTG